ATACAACTGGTTTATTTTATACAGAGTCTTAAATATGGCTAATTTTAAGTTGAATTTACTTAATTTTTTCAAACGCCACACTGTATATTATCTAGACATAAAATTCCCTATAAGTTTGCCTACGTAGCAATACCAATGTGTTAGTCAATAACACATATACAGGGTGTCCCGTCGGTGTATAATTTATCGATAGCTGATTCATTATTATAAATGTTTAATATAATAATAATAATAATAATAATAATAATAATAATAATAATAATAATAATAATAATAATAATAATAATAATAATAATAATAATAATAATAATAATAATAATAATAATAATAATAATAATAATAATAATAATAATAATAATAATAATAATAATAATAATAATAATAATAATAATAATAATAATAATAATAATAATAATAATAATAATAATAATAATAATAATAATAATAATAATAATAATAATAATAATAATAATAATAATAATAATAATAATAATAATAATAATAATAATAATAATAATAATAATAATAATAATAATAATAATAATAATAATAATAATAATAATAATAATAATAATAATAATAATAATAATAATAATAATAATAATAATAATAATAATAATAATAATAATAATAATAATAATAATAATAATAATAATAATAATAATAATAATAATAATAATAATAATAATAATAATAATAATAATAATAATAATAGAATAGAATAGAATAGAATAGACGTTTATTGACCTCTTTCATACAATGTGGGTACATTGAAGTCATGCAAAAGATACAGAAATAAATAATATAAATGTACATTTACATAGAGAGATCCTATAATTTTTTAATAATAAAAGTTAATTTTCGTCTAGAGATTACTGTGGAAAAGAATAAAAAAAAATATATATAAAACAATTTTAAACAGTAAATATTGAACTTACTTCTAGTCTAACACACTCATAAATATAAAAACAAAGCCGTAGTCAAGTAATATAAAATAAAAAATAAAGTATAAATATAACAGCGGCAATTAAAATAACAGTTAAAATAACAGACACGATTAAGATAACAGAAAATCACAAGAATAAAATTAAAATTAATGTTTATGTTTAATGTTTAAATTGTAAAAATTCATCGACACTGTAAAAACTGTTTTCTAGTAAAAAAGTTTTAATAATGTTTTTGAACCTACTTTCCATCATGTTTTTAAGATTGATGTCTTTAAAAATGACCGCTAACTTGTTGAATATATCTAAGTTTAGTTTATTGTTTTTGGTGAGACAGATGCGCGAGTGTGGCACCGCCAGTAATTCCGATCCTCTTGTACTGTACTCATGAGTGTTGTTATTTGTAGGAAAAATCTTTATATTTTTGTGAATTTCTAAGGCTGTTTGTAGAATGAATAAACATGGTACGGTTAATATTTTGTGTTTTATAAAGAGGTCTCGGCAATGAGCACGGTGTTGAGCGGCATCAACAATGCGTAAAGCTGTCTTCTGTAGGATGAAGACTTTTCCAGCTGTAGTGGCGCTACCCCACAACAACAATCCATATGAAATATGGCTCTGGAATAACGCATAATAGGCCGTTCTCAAAGCCTCAGTACTGGTGATGCTCGTGCGCAGCTGTCTCAACACATATATTTGGATCGAGAGTTTCGAACAGAGTTCCTCGATATGGTTTGACCATTTTAAACCGCTGTCAAAGGTGATGCCCAACATTTTGGCCGGTTCTGATTTTTTTACCCATTTATCTGAGGTAAAAGTGATTGTTTGGGTCTTATTATTGTTGAGCATTAATTTATTCGATGTAAACCAAGTTTTGGCCATATCGAGATTTACTCTGCTGGACCTCTCACAATCCCTGGTTAAGAAGTTAGTGTCGTCTGCGAATAATATAGACTTTGTCAGTTCATGCATCGCCGGTGGCAAGTCGTTGATATAAATTAGAAAGAGAATAGGTCCCAGAACAGATCCTTGAGGTACACCATTACTGATATTGACTATGCTTGAAGAGACGTTATTTAAGACTACGTATTGTACGTATAATAATAATAATAATAATAATAATAATAATAATAATAATAATAATAATAATAATAATAATAATAATAATAATAATAATAATAATAATAATAATAATAATAATAATAATAATAATAATAATAATAATAATAATAATAATAATAATAATAATAATAATAATAATAATAATAATAATAATAATAATAATAATAATAATAATAATAATAATAATAATAATAATAATAATAATAATAATAATAATAATAATAATAATAATAATAATAATAATAATAATAATAATAATAATAATAATAATAATAATAATAATAATAATAATAATAATAATAATAATAATAATAATAATAATAATAATAATAATAATAATAATAATAATAATAATAATAATAATAATAATAATAATAATAATAATAATAATAATAATAATAATAATAATAATAATAATAATAATAATAATAATAATAATAATAATAATAATAATAATAATAATAATAATAATAATAATAATAATAATAATAATAATAATAATAATAATAATAATAATAATAATAATAATAATAATAATAATAATAATAATAATAATAATAATAATAATAATAATAATAATAATAATAATAATAATAATAATAATAATAATAATAATAATAATAATAATAATAATAATAATAATAATAATAATAATAATAATAATAATAATAATAATAATAATAATAATAATAATAATAATAATAATAATAATAATAATAATAATAATAATAATAATAATAATAATAATAATAATAATAATAATAATAATAATGTTTATTTACAAGAAACAAAAAATACAAATTATTACAAAATAATTTTAGATGTAAATAAACAATGGTGAGCCCGTAAAAACCAATGGTTGTGCACGGGTTGGACTTGTTTATTTGCAGCTAGTGAAGATTAGTAAAAAAAAAAATGAAATAAAAATATATTAACTCAATTAAAAATACAATATTTAAATGATATGACAATACGTAATTAGTAAGATGCATTCTAGAGATTCGGTTACATAGTGGCAAAAATAAGAGCAACATGAGAATAATAAAAAAAAAAATAAAATAAAAAGTATTTACCTACCTATTGTGCATATATATGATTATTTTGAATCTATCAAATTATATATATATTTTCTGTTCGTATTAGCTAAGAATTTTTTGAAAACATTTTTAATGAAAATTATTGAATTAATTGTTTTATAATTGTTTTATAACACCATATTTAACAAATATTCTTAAATATACAGGGTGGTCCATAAACGAGGTGCTGACCAAATCTTTACTTTTTTAAAGCAAAACACCCTGCAGGTAGTAATACATATTTGATTGTTTTTACATCGTCAAACAATTTTAATTGACTTCATTCATTTGCTATGTTGTATATAGGGTGTGCCAAAACGTGAGGTTACGATTTTGTCAATTTTTTAAATGGAATACTCTGTATTAATTAATTGAGGGTATGACCTATAGGGTATTCCATTTAAAAAAAAAAATGAGAAAATCGTTACCCCTCATTTTGAAATACCCTATATACAACAGCAAATAAATTAAGTCTATTAAAATTGTTTGACGATGTATATTTAAGAACATTTATTAAACATGGTCATACAACTTTTATATTAATTTGTTTTTCCTATTTCATATACATATTTTTAAGTTAAAGTCTTTTCTGTAATGGAAGATATTTAGAAAATATGTATTTATAAAATTCACTTTAACACCCTGTAGAATAAAAACTGATTAGGATCTACCAATCCCCAAAATTACGGTACTTTATTCTAAAACACCCTGTATAAATATACAAAAAATCATAAACTTCATTATGAAACTCACTCTTTTTTCTGGAAATACACATATGAACTCTAGACGTTGCATTGGTACACGCTGCGCATTCACTAATGATGTGAGAAGTGTTACCCCCCCCCTAGCTACGCGCTTGCTTCGAACATCTTTCAGTGTACATGAGTTTCCTATTCGTTTCTAAGAACACATGTTTTTCGTTTCAGAACAATTATGTCTCGAAACAAAACAGGTAGACAATTACCGCCTAATGATCAGGAAAATATGAAGGGTTGAAATACCAACAGGGGTTAGGGCTAGAATTCTAAATTTTGGTATGCACCACCACGCACCCCATACAAGCATTACTGGAGCCGTATCTAAAAAATATAAGGACCAGTAAACTTAATAGCTCAAATTTCGGTAAGTCTGCACTCGTATCGCCCAAAGCACATCCTCAGACAGTAATACCTCCACCTACAGCAACCGCATAAAAATTCTAGGAAACAGCGAAATCCAAATACATGTCAATACCTCAGACATACCAACATCCCTCCAGGAATCAATACGCCGATTTAACGCTGGAGAATGCACATCTGAAGAAGAAAGGGGTGCATTTGCATTTGACCGTCACAGATAAGTGAGAACTCCCATCCCAGTATTTTCCCTAGTCCAGGCAAAGACAAACCTCAAGTAATGGACACTATAAAGAGTACTTCACAAACTAATGAACTCCCATTCGAGACCCCCAGGAAGTTCAGCTCAAACTTTAAAAAACGATTACGAAATAAAAGTGAGGAACATTTTCCGAATGAACACTAAGAACCGACCGTTATTCCGAGTCGTCACCGACCTGTCCTTGCAACTGGATTATCTAAATAAGAACGTGAGAAGAGTTCTATATACAACAGTTATTTGCAAACTCAGAAAATTAGTAAAACAGATAATCCAGTGTCATAATTGTCAGCTCTGGGGACACGCCACAACTAACTTCGGAAGGTCACCCCGCTGTCTCAAATGCGCTGGCGATCACTCTACCAGAACCTGCACAAAAAGCCGAGACACAGCAGTCACTACTTAGAACGGCTCGACAGAATTGAAGTACGCAGAAACAAAGCACACGCACCAAAGTACATCCCTGCACCGGTCCCCACTGCAAATGTTTGGGACCGCCGGCGACCTCGGCCGGCCACAAGGTGAAGTCCCAGCTCTTCCCAGTCAAAACAGCGATAATTATAATGACGCATCCTCTCTGCCACATCCCAGAGATAATCCACCATCCACGAATCGTCAACCACCCCAAAGACTGTCGCAGATGACTGACATCCTAACCGTCAATGCCGAATTTCAACAATTGGATAAACTGGTAAATATTGGCAAGTTAATTCGTGCCGTTAGACAATTAAATAACCGACTTAAATAACCGACTTAGAGACTGTCAGACAAACGATGAATTCTTTACCACATATTACGACTTTGTAGCTGAATTAGACAACTACAATTTCAAGAACTAAACTACACGGAAAAATCGACATACTAAGAATATAGAACTAGTTTATTTTATACAGAATGTCTTGAAACATGTATTAAATATGGCTAAGTTCAATTTAATTTTTTCAAATGCATACATGTATATTATTTTAGCATACAAGTCCTTATAAATTTAGCTATCCAGCAATACCAATATTTCAGCCAATAACACACAGTGAGTAA